TAATTATTATTTTATATATATTTTGTCATCGTATAAGAAAGATATACGATTCGTCGTATGAATTTTATTTTATTGAACAATAATTATTTCATTTTATTGAACAATTTCAAATAATCGGAATGAATGTATCAAATATAGTTTAATTTTTCGAACACTATTTAAATTCAGATTAAAATATTGTTTACACACTATTCCTTAGATATTATATATTTCTTTATTTATAAAACACTCGCGATTATAATATTATTAAATAATTTTATTTTGTTTCATATTACACAAATCACGATGATGTATATAATATTATCTCAAGATGATTACGTGTATAGAAAATTATTGTGAGAAGAATAATAAGAGATAAAAGATAAAAACGAAAAATAATTAGTGTGTGAATCAATATATAAAAAAGGATCGTATTTAAACTTTTCACACGCGTTAGAATTAAAATGCAAGATAACAATTACGTTGAATACAGTTGTATATTTTCTATATAAGATGCCAATTAAATATCTATTTCTATCATATATAACCACAAACACTAACACACTATGATTACAAGGTGACTAATGTTACCAATTCGGAAACCATCACACACACACATTCACATACATACTTACAATTTTATATTACGTATATATGTGTTATTATTGACAACGAGATTAAGATAAATGAATTAAATTTTGATGTAAATTCATTATTTCAATGAAATTAACAAACAAATTAAACAAACAACACGAATTGTCTTTTTGTTTTTTTTTTTTAAGAAAACAAAACTAAATTAAATTAAATTAAATTAAGAAACAAATGGATAAGAAAAAAAATAATGAAAAGTCAAAAAACGATTGAAAGAAATTTGTGAGAAAAACTTGGACGTTTTTTTTTTTATTCCCCATGAACGCGTAGCCCGGAAGACTTTAACGGGACGACTAACAGGACTCCGGCATTTAGCTCACCTTTTCAAACCTGGGATATATCCCCCCCTCCTCCTCCTACTTTGATTCCGAAAAAAAAAGAAAAGGTTCTAAGTTAAACCGAGGACACAGACACCCATGGTGTCGCACAATTCAATGAAGTGGACTATGTTTTCACTGAGTACCTTTCAAACCTATTTTAAATGATTTTTCTTTTATGTTAACCGCTTATCTAACATCTGATCTATGGTTATCGTATTAGTTTTCTTCTTCTTCTTTTTCTTTTTTTTTTCTCTCTTGTTAGTTACCTTTCAAAAGGGGATGAAATCATTCCTATTTTTAAAGGACACAACAAAGGGAATTCCAGTAGTTGTAATAGAAATATTTTATTGGATTACTAATTCAAATTTGTATTAATATATGTGATTTGTTTTAATAATTTAATAATTATATTATTATATAATTGTTTATTTTGTGAATCATTTAAATTAACGATTGTATAACGATAGTTAATTATTATTTAAGATTAATAATATCGTACGTGTTTTTTTCTTATTTTATTGATTTTATCAACATAGGTGAGATGAATTTTGATAAGAAGATATAGTGTTTAAAAATTAAATTGATAAATTAATAATTATATATAAGGATAGAGAGTTAGTTATTATTTTAGAAAAATCTTTATATCGTGTTGTTATGTGTTTTTATTATTTTATTAATTTTATCAACAGACGCGAGATAACTTTTGATAAAAATTAGAGATCTGTGTTTATACTAAAACGATAAGTTAATAATTATAATGACAGTTAATTATATTATTTAAGAAAATATAATATTATTTTCTTTTCTTATTAACACACACAGAGAGAGAGAGAGAGATAACTTTTTTAATAACAATTAGATCATGTTTTAAATTAAAACAGTAGGAAGAAAAAGAAAACATTGATAAAAGATTACTTTA